TCCCCCTCCTTCGCCTCCCACTGCTGGTGTCGTCCCCCAGCGCGGATTTACCTCCTACCTCGTCCAGGTTCCCTCTCCCCTCCTCCCGCGTCCCTCGCCCCGTTTCCCTCCTCTGTCTCTCTGTCTCGCTCCCTCCCTTCCTCTCTCTCGCTCTCCATCTCTCTCTCTCTCTCTCCATCTCTCTCTCTCTCTCTCTCTCCCTCTCGCCCTCCCTCCTTCTCTCATTCTCTCTCTCTCTCTCTCTCCCTATCTCTTGTTCACTCCCTCTCACTCTCAAACTCTCTCTCCTTCTCTGTCTCTTTCAGTCTCTCCTTCTCCCTCTCTCCCCTTCCCTTTTTCTTTCTCTCTCTCTCTCTCTCTTTCTCCTTTTATCGCTTCTTCCTCTCTGGTCTCTGTGACCCCTTATCTGGCTCAGGCCTGTGCCGGATCGGGCCGGCATGAGCGGCCCTCGCCTTGAATTCTCCGCCCGAACCCTTACGCACGGCTTCTGCCGGTGCACACTTCAATCAAGGCATGCGCACAGGGTTTGTTTTGTTCTACCATCGTGCACGCCCCTTTTCCGCCGCGGCTGGTCGTTCTTTCCCTCCCTCTCCCTTTCCCTCTGGAATGCTGCCAGGCGCTTTTTTCATGACACGAGTTCCAATGTCGGCCGACGGGGATCTCTGCACAGCGCCCCTGGCACTTTCTCGTCCTTCTCTTCCTCCGCCTCCCTTGCGCCTCGTCCTCCGCCTCCTCCTGCCGCCGCTGGCGGCCACGACACCCTTCACAGTGGAGACCCATGGGACCCGTGCCAGGGAGCACCCTGCTTTCCTCCAGGGTGCCCTGGGTTGCTTGGGTTTCGGTGGCCTTGCCGTGGCAAGCGTGACGCTCCCCTACCAAACATCGATGGACGTCCTGGGGTCTCGGGTTTCTTTTCCTCCTCCTCCTTTTCCTCATCCTCCTCCTCCTCCTCCTCCTCCTCCTCTTCCTTCTCCTCCTCCTCCTCATCCTCCGCCTCCTCCTCCCCGTTTTCGTCCTCCTCTTCTTCTTCCTCCTCTGGTTTCTTGTGGACTGGCCTCCGCTCTGCGGCGACAGTCGCGTCCTCCGCCGCCTTCGTCGGCGCAGGACCGCGGCCCCCCCTCTCTGTGCCACCGCGCGAGGAGGCGCCGCCCCCTCTTCGGCGCCGCCGCTGCTCCTCCTCCGCCTCCGCTCCTCCTCCTTCATCGTCATCTCCTCCGCCCCCTCCTCCTCCTCCTCCTCCCCCTCCTCCTCCTCCTCCTCCCCCTCCTCCCCCTCCTCCTCCTCCTCCTCCGCCTCCTCCTCCTCCGCGAACCTCCGCGATGCCTGCTGCGCCTCCTTTCCTCTCGCGCCTCCTCCGCGAGGCCGAAGGGCCCTCCGCGGACCGTGGCTCGGCCGCGGCCGCGGGCCAGCGGCACCTTCGGGGAGCGGTGCGTGGAGGATCGCCGTGGGCGAAGATCGCTCTGCGGGACGAAGCAGTCACTACCTCCCGTTGCTCGAAGAAGAAGAAACAAAAGAGAAAGAAACACGCCACAACCAGCAACGCGTGGCGTTCCGCGCGGACTTCTCGGAGCCGCGCTGGGCCCCCGTGGCGGCGCCTCCAGCGCCGCTCCCTGGCGTGCTCATGCCCTTGTTTCCCCTTCTAGTTGCTCATCGTCGAACTCTTCGGCGTCTGAGCGTCCCTTCTTCCTCTCGGCCGTCCCGATTCCCCTCTCTTTGCCCGCCGGCCAATTCGCTGGTTGGTGCCCCTTTCCAGCTTCTCGCCGATGCGGAGCTCGCCTTCTTCGCCGCCGACGAACAAAAAATCCCCTCCTGGTTGTCGGAGGTGTCCTCGCCCCCTCCCGAGCAGGCCCTCGACTCGGGCGAACCTCCGCGCCTCCAGGTGCCGCTCCGCCTCGGCCTCGCTCGGCCCACGGCGCGCCTCTCACGATTCTCCCCCGCGGCGCGCCCCCCGTGCCGCGGAGCTGTCCCGGCCTCCTCCTCTTCATCCAGGAGGGAAAAAAACACACAGACACAATTAATCGGCGACCCCCAGGAAAATGTGCAAAAATATGGGAAGTGGTGGGGAAGACAAAAACCCAGAAAATATGGGAAAATATTGGGGATATTTGTATTTGTGTGTATTTATTTGTGTGTTCCAGTTCCCCTTCATTCATCCCCGGGAAGGAGGCCCTCGGCTCGGGCGTTCCGCGTCGGCTTGCCGAGCAGGCCGAAGCAGCAGATGCCCCCGACTCGTGCCGCCTGGGGCGTTCCAGAGCAGGGCGCAGCCTTCGAGGGTCGCAGGAGTTGCCATCTCTTCCGCGGCGGCAGGCGGCGGAAGGACTGCGGAAGGCGGCGGAAGGACAGCGAGGCCGCCGCCGCCGGACACGGGCGGAAGGCCGGCGGCCGGCGGCGGAAGTGCAAGATGTGCCCCAAGAGGTGAACACGCTCATTGGGCTCAGGGCTTCCGGAGTCCAGCGCCGTGCACGGTGACGGAGAACATGCATTGCATGTGATCGGGGAGACTCAGTGGCAAACGAGACGGTCGCAGCCAAGGCCGGGCAGATCGACAGCCGAGCTGCACATCAAGTTGTGAGTTCCAACATGCGCTGACTACAGACGCAGCCGGCCAGCGTACGGCAGCGTACGGCAGCACAAAGAGTTCCAACATGCACTTGCTACAAACGCATTGCATCCAACGCGCGCACCGCAGCGTATGTGTAAAGATTTGTCATCCAGCATTCGGGCTTGTTTTCGTTGCCATTCCAACACGGCTGATGGGTCGACAGAGAGTCGCGATTACTGTGGTGTGCACAAGTGGTGTGCTGTACACCACCGCTTTGATGCACGCTGGCACTGTGGTGTGCACAGGCGCTGTTGCGCACGCGTCTGTCGTTGTCGTCGTCGTCGTCGTCGTCGTCGTCGTCGTCGTCGTCAGTCTTTTTCGTTGTCGTCGTTGTGTTCGAGGGCTTCGGATAGCGCGCACATGCTCGCAGAAACTTTTTAAGGCCTGCTGAGGCTTGTTGAGATCTGTTGGCTCCTTAACCGTCGTTGTCGTCGTCGTCGCTGTGGGCGCAGCGATGGTGTGAAGAAGGCGTTGTGGTTTGGCGTTTTCACAGTGGAATACGCAGGCCTTGTGGCTTACATGAGCACCGCCATGCGCCATGCGCTGTGGTGTACGGGCGCGGTGTGGTGCGCGCGTAACCTCCTGCATCAGCATGTGTGGTTACAGCCATTCGGGCGGCCGGGCGCGGGTGTGTCATGTGATGTGCCAACGACCCAACCCACCCACCCAACCACATCACGCGCGTTATGTGTAATAATGAAAACTTGATATCCTCCTCCTCATCCTCTTCCTCCTCCTCATCCTTCCCCTCCTCCTTCCCCTCCTTCCCTCTTCCATTTCTTTTCCCTCCTCTTTCCTCCTCCCTCCTCCCCCTCCTCCTCCCCCTCTTCCTTCACGCCGGGCAGAGAGAGCCTCGCACTTATCAGCAAGGGCTTGTGTCCGAGGCGGGAGGGTGTGCTAGCGCAGTTGCAAGCTGGGTTGGTACGCCGTGGCCTTGGCTAGCCCTCCTTTTCCTGCACACCACCCGTGCTTAGCCAAATAGTTCCAACAGTTCCTCCTTCCTCGTCCTCTCTCCTCCCGCGAGACTCTCATCCTTTCGAGAAACAAGGAATGGCATGACCATAAACTTTCGGAGGCCCGCGCGGATTTCTCGGATCGGCGCTGGGCCCCCCTGGCGCGCTCTGCGCGCCGGGGATTGGGTCCAGCGCCCATCCAAGAAATCCGCGCGGGCCTCCGAAGTTGTATGTTCATGACATCGTCTGTTCCTTTCTTGCCCACCGTGGCAATGCAGTTCCCTCGCCTCCCCCCCTCTGGCCCTTGCCGCTGCCACCTGCCCTCCTCCCCATCCACGCATCGTTCATTCCCCACCTTTCCGTCTTCGCTGTCGACCCGCATCTCGTGCTCGATCTCGTCATCGTTCCCGTTCTTGCTCGCGCTCTCCCAAATCATCCCCATCTGCCACCGTGCCCTCCTGCTTCTCCGCCCCCCTCGTCCGATGCCCCTTCCCGCCCCTCATCATCATCATCATCATCATCATCATCATCATCATCATCATCATCATCATCATCATCATCATCATCATCATCATCATCAACATCATCATCTCCTCATCTATCTCCTTCTCTTTATACGTAACTCATCCCTGTCGCATCCCCAGACGTCTCGGCAGGACGGGGCGGTCGTTTCGCCTGAGGCGCCCTCACCGCTTATGATCTTGAAGCGCGAGATTCACAACAGCTTCACGGATGGGGAGCGGGTCGTTTGCAAAATGTGGTTCTCGCCTTGGTTCCGCGCCCCCGAACGTTTGCGACAGCTTCAAGGATTGAGGACGGGTCGTTTTCAAAATTTTGTTCTCGCCCCAGCGGCACGCACATTCGTCGTAAAAGTTTGCAACAGCTTCAACGATGGAGGGGGGGGGGCTCCTTTCAAAATACGCTGGCAGCAGCTTCAAGGATGGAGGGAGGTTCCTTTTCAAAATGTGGCTCTCGCTTTCACTCTGCGCACATTCGTGATGAACGCTTGCAGCAGTTTCCAGAATGATGTTCTGGTACGTCATTGATCATTGGGTTGTCAGGACGTAACAGTATCGCCGAGTCGCGGTGTTGGAGTACTTGGAATTGTGTTCTGGGGAGATTTAGGATTGTCAGGGCGCAGCAATCACGCTCTTTCGCGGGTGATGATGTCCCAGGAAGAGCGGTTGAGGATTCTCAGGCGGTTGCCTGCAACGGGCTATTTCCGTAGTGGGGAGAAATCCTGCAGGGACGTATGATGAGGGAACTTGGAGGGGGGGGGGTGTTGCAACATCGCTGGTGCGTCTTGGGTGTGCACAGTTCCTTCTCCTCCTCCTCCTCCTCATCCTCCTCCTCCTCCTCCTCCTCCTCCTCCTCCTCTTTCTCCTCCTCCTCCTCCTCCTCCTCCATATCCTTCTCGTCCTGCTGCGCTGGAGGTTGAGCTGAGGATGCTCCGCGCCCTGTTCGTCGAACTCATGCAGACCCTGAGCGCTGTTGGTGTCAAGGCGCCCATCTTCGGGTTTCCCTGGGGGCGGGGGGGGAGTCTTGGAGCCTGGAAGGGAGGAGGAAGAAGATTATGATGATGAGTCCAATGGGGAGGAGGAGGAGGAGGAGGAGGAGGAGGAGGAGGAGGAGGAGGAGGAGGAGGAGGAGGTAGGAGGAGGAGGAGGAGGAGGAGGAGGAGGAGGAGGAGGAGGAGGAGAAGGAGGAGGAGGAGGAGGAGGAGGAGGAGAAGGGTGTAGGAGGGAAACGATAGGGGGGACATGATGGGGAGGAGAACGGTGAAGGAATAGGAGGATGCGGCTGGGGAGGCGAATGAGGGGTACGTGGGAATGTAGACTGGACTGGGGAAAGAGGATCATGTGGAGGATCAGGAGGAGGAGGAGGGGCATACTGAGAGTGAGTAGGGTGAACAGGAGGAGAAGGAGGAAGAGGACGAGGAGGAGCTTTTCATCAGGCGCAGGAGATGGAGGAGGATGAGGAGGAGGAGGAGGAGGAGGGAAATGACGATGAGTGGGCGGGTGAATTGGGCAGGATGTGCAGGCGGAGGCTGAGGAGGGGGAGGAGAAGGAGAAGAAGGAGGAGGAGGAGGACGAGGAGGATGAGGAGACGAGGGGGGGGGGGACAGGCCGGGGGAGGTGAGGAAGGGGGAGTGTGGGGATGTGAATTCAAAGGCCCAGACAGAACACTTTTACCTAGCATGGATCAGCGGGAGTTCCGTTCCTCGTTCAAGCCTTTGTGCGCAGGCCACTGGATGGCATCGCCCCTGGCGGGGCTAGGACAGGGATGACATCGCTCCAGGAGGGCGTTCGGGGCGCTCTGAGAAGGCCGCGGCGCCCGATGCATCCTCCAGAGCGGCCGGATGTCAGAGACTCCCCTTGTATATCTCTGTCCGTTTGCTGCCCCCGTCCTGGCTTCGTCTTACGGTCAGAAGCTTTGGCTTAGCGTGTCGCGCCGCTGGTTCTGGCCCACCACTCTTCGCTCACCCGTCAATGTCACGAGCCTTCCCCAGGCCTCCCGCCCCGCGGAGCGGAGCGGCGCGCTATCGGCTCGCAGAGGGGCGCCCTCCGGAACCGCCGGCTCCCAGAGCTCCTCGATGTTTATCCCTGCCATGCCTTGTCCCTGTTCTAGCTCCGTCTTGCGGTGGGGGCGTCGGTCCAGGAGCGTGTGCCCAGGAGGCTTCAAGGCCCCAGAGGATGTCTTGTACCTGATGAGGGCGGTGGTGGTACCCACAGTCAATTCATGATTGGAGTTCCACCGGCTTCCAGACCCCGGATTCTTGAGCTCATGGTTCGGTTACACGCAAGAGTGACCCTTCGCTGGGGTGACCTTTGCTGCGCGCCCACTGGGCTGTCCCGATCGCCGAACGCGACGCGACAGTAGCGTCTTGCGCCCCTGCGGCGGGTCCCCCCGCGGCCCCCCGAAAGCCGCGCACCAAGGGTCACTCGTGCCTACAGCTGGCCCGGATCAGTAGGTCGACCCTGCTGGATCCAGGGTACCCTCGTGTCCCGTGCCTCGCGAGCCATGCCTCCCACATTCCTATGGCCGCGTGCCCCTCGGAGAGGGTCTCTTGCCCTCTCGCGTGCCCTCCCCAGTCAATGTCCGACTGCGGGGCCCCTCTCTGCGTGCCGCCGCACAGCTCCGTGCCCACATGGCCGACCCCTCGCCGTCGCCGTCGAGGTGCTCCGCCGGTCCGCGCCCGAAGGGCCCGCCGCAGGGAGCCTCGGCGGGCTGCGCGGGCCCTGCGGGCTGCCCCGCGGGGCGCACCCGCCGCCCCCGGGCACCGCCCCCGGCGCCGTGCTCCGCATGCCTTTCGGGCACGCGCCGCGCGGCCGTCCCCTCGCGTGGGGCCCCCGGGGGGGGTGCGGTGGGCGCATGGGGCCAGAGATCCTGCTGTGCGGGGGTGGGCAGACCTCCTGCCCTGACGCGTCGATCAGCGAATGGGCCGTTTTCGGCTCGCGGGAGGGCGTCGTGGCCGTCATTTTTGCGGGTCCAGGTCCGTCGGTTTCGGTCCCGGGCCGTTTCCACTAAAGGGAGGTCTACTATAGGAAGGTTTGTCCACCGCCGAACTGCGATGAATCTTGGGGCACATGCGTCCTATTGGCGGCGCGCAGAGGGGGGGGGGCTAGGGGGGAGGGGGGAAGGCTTCTTAGAATCGCCCCTGCTGCTTGGAAAGTGCGGGCCCTCTCTGTAAACATATGGCCAGCGCCTTCCAAGAAGCAGCCTCCTTTGGATAAGCCTTCCTCCCTCCCCCTGCCCCCGTCTGCGCGCCGCCAGTATTTCATTTTTCGACCCCTCCGGAGATGCCCCGCGACCTCCGTGGATGCCTCGGGCCTGCGGGTGCCCAGAGATGCCAGCGGGGCAGCTGTCGGCAGGCGGGTTTTTCCTTGCCCGGCGTGCCCATCGTAAGTTTGAGGAGGGGCCTGGCCGCAGCGGCGAGAGAGCCGTTTGCCCCGGTGGCGGCCTGCCTCGTGAGGAGCCTGCTGTGTGCAGTGGGGACGCATGCCAAGAAGTACTCTGCTTGCCTCCAGGGTGCCCTGGGTTTCTTGGTTCTTTCGACGGTTCTGCTCTGGGAAGAAGCGTGACGCTCCCACACCCCAAAAAGCAAGGGACGTCCTGGGGTCTCATCCTCCACCGTCTATGGACTCGTGACGGGCGGCCCTGGTGGCGAGCCTGCTCGCGGCGGTCTGCGGCATCGGGGCGCGCAGCCTCGTGCCGCGGATGGCGCGGAGTCGGCTACGTACAGTACCGTTTCACCGATCCCGATCCCCATGCCCACCTCGACCCCATCATCCAGCCACCCTCAGTCGGGGAGATACCCCTCAAAACCCAAGGGGAACAGCCTGTATCCCCATCTAGGGGGGCAAGTCGGCCAGTGGGCCCAGGCCACACCCAGTGGGGATAGGGATCGGTTCAACGATGCTCATACGTACCAGGGCCTGCGGCACGTGCGCGATGGCAGCTTGGTCGTTCCTGGGAGCCGTAGGCCCCGCTCTTCCGCGCAGGGCCGTCTCTCGCGGGATCGGCGCAGGGCCATCTCTCGCGTGAGCGGCTTCGTGCGGCTGGCGCGGAGGCGGCGGCCGGGGCCGGCGGGCTTGCTGGCTTGACGGCAGCTGGTTCTTCCTCTCTGTCTGGTCGACCCAAAGGGGGGTCCAGTAAGAAGGGGTTGGTGTGCAGTAGACCTGGTGCAATCGATCTGTGGGGTTGCCATCGATTTGCGGGGTGTGCAATGCGTGCCGGGGCGCAGATGCATTGCTGGATCACTGTCGCGTGCAAGGCGTTACTTGCGATCTGCGCAACGGTCGCCATTTTCGTGGGCTCATGGGAGGCCCAGCGGAGGTGGGTCCCACGCGGATCACCTCGGGACCTCGCCGCCCCTTGGGGGGCTTGCGATCTGCGCAACTGTCGCCACTTTCGTGGGCTCCTGGGGGGGCCCAGCGGAGGTACGTCCCACGCGGATCACCTCGGGACCTCGCCGCCCCCGGGACCTCGGGGGGGGCTTGCGATCTGCGCAACTGTCGCCACTTTCGTGGGCTCCTGGGAGGCCCAGCGGAGGTGGGTCCCACGCGGATCACCTCGGGACCTCGCCGCCCCCTGGGGGGCTGCGATCTGCGCAACTGTCGCCACTTTCGTGGGCTCCTGGGAGGCCCAGCGGAGGTGAGTCCCACGCGCGCGGATCACCTCGGGACCTCGCCGCCCCCTGGGGGGCTTGCGATCTGCGCAACTGTCGCCACTTTCGTGGGCTCCTGGGAGGCCCAGCGGAGGTGGGTCCCACGCGGATCACCTCGGGACCTCGCCGCCCCCTGGGGGGCTGCGATCTGCGCAACTGTCGCCACTTTCGTGGGCTCCTGGGAGGCCCAGCGGAGGTGGGTCCCACGCGGATCACCTCGGGACCTCGCCGCCCCCTGGGGGGCTGCGATCTGCGCAACTGTCGCCACTTTCGTGGGCTCCTGGGAGGCCCAGCGGAGGTACGTCCTACGCGGATCACCTCGGGACCTCGCCGCCCCCTGGGGGGCTTGCGATCTGCGCAACTGTCGCCACTTTCGTGGGCTCCTGGGAGGCCCAGCGGAGGTGGGTCCCACGCGGATCACCTCGGGACCTCGCCGCCCCTTGGGGGCTTGCGATCTGCTCAACTGTCGCCACTTTCGTGGGCTCCTGGGAGGCCCAGCGGAGGTACGTCCCACGCGGATCACCTCGGGACCTCGCCGCCCCTTGGGGGGCTTGCGATCTGTGCAACTGTCGCCATTGTCGTGGGCTCCTGGGAGGCCCAGCGGAGGTGGGTCCCACGCGGATCACCTCGGGACCTCGCCGCCCCGCTGGGGGGCTTGCGATCTGTGCAACTGTCGCCATTGTCGTGGGCTCCTGGGAGGCCCAGCGGAGGTGGGTTCCACGTGGAACACTCGGAGGTACGTCATACGCGTTTCTGTCAACGCCCCTGTGTTTCCATTTTGTATATTTGCCGTTTCTCTTCTTGCTGCGCTCTTCTGAAAGCATTGTTCGATGCTTTTCTTGCGCACTGCGGGTCCTTCAGAATGCCAGTCAGCAATGAGTGGTCCTGAGAATAATCGCAACATGTACCGAAAGGGTTGGGAACGTCACAGGGTAATTGATGCACGTGCGTGGCGATGCGGCGAGAGCTACGTTTTGGAAGTCGCCTGCCCTCCATCCGCGTCGCTCGTGCAGACTTGTAAGGCGGATCTACGCAGCGCTGCGGCGACAGCCACGCTTCACAGGCAATATGTGCCCCATGCGTGTGCAGTCGGGCAGAGGTATGAGATCGAGGTCGGTTCGGGGAGAGTGCCCTAGTGTTAGGTCGGGCGTGCCCCCCTACAGGCAGATTTTGGACGAAACATAAAACATAGTCCAACACTTCTCAGAAATGACCAACAAGGATGGACACATCGTCCCCGTACTATTTTGGCTGACTAGTTTTGAATATTCCTCCTGTCGAGGGACGTGCCCGACTTATCCCTAGTGTTCGTCGTCTCTGTTGGATGCTCTTGTGCATCCCGGGGAGGGTACCCCTGGATGTCTTGTGAGCTTTGGCCCGCGGGGAACCTCGCGCTCTTGAGGGATGTGTTTCTGCCCCAGGCTCGCCCGTACTTGCTGGCAGGGCTCGTCCTGAGCGCTGTGTTGCTGGACTTCGGCTGTGTTCAGTTGTTTCGCTTTGGCAGGGAAGGTGCAGGAAGAGAGGTAGCGCAAGACGAGCAACACAACGACACCAAAACGAACAACAACGTTTGGGTCCAGCTCTGTGTTGGGCTTCAACAAAGACCCAACGCGCACAAGCTGTGGGGACGTCTTGGGCAACCTGCCTGGCTCGACCTGCCCCGACACGCCTGGTGGCGCCACGGAGCGGAGTCATATCCGCAAGGATGCGGGATCCACGAGGAGGAGGAGGAGGAGGAGGAGGAGGAGGAGGAGGAGGTGGAGGAAGGTGATGGAGGAGGCAGACGAGGAGGAGGAGGAGGAGGAGGAGGAGGAGGAGGAGGAGGCAGACGACTAGGAGGAGGAGGAGGAGGAGGAGGAGGAGGAGGAGGAGGCAGACGACAACGAGGAGGAGGACGACGAGGAGGAGGAGGAGGAGGAGGAGGACGACGACGAGGAGGAGGAGGAACGTGAGCTGGAGCGTGAGCAGGAACGGCGCCGTCCTCCCCCCCCCCGTCGGCCTCCTGCTCTGCCTCCCTGCCTTGCGGGCCCGGCTCTCTCCGGCAGGACGTGCGCCTCAACATGGACAAGATGAAGCTTTTGGAGTCGCACGCCAGCGGGCGAGAGCACGAGAAGAAGGAGGCGATCCAGCGCACGGCGCAGGCAGTGGGGCTGCCAAGAGGAGGAGGAGGAGGAGGAAAAGGAGGAGGAGGAGGAGGAGGAGGAGACCTTCGTTGTACTCACCTGCACTCGGATCGATAGACTTGCTGGAGCTGCATGTGCTGCTCGGCCTCTTTGTCCCTGCCCGAGGCGGAAGTGCCCGTGCCGAGGCCACGACCGCCTCGCACCGCGCCGTCTGGGGACCCCTAGAGTTGCCCAAGAAGCCTCAGCGCCCTTCAGCCTCCTGGGGGTGACAGGAGAGAGAGAAAAGAAGAGCGGCATAAACATAATTTTTTGGCGCTCCGCGCGGATTTCTTGGATCCGCGCTGGGCCCCCCCGGCGGCGTTTCCGGCGCCGCCTCTGGCGCGCTCCGCGCGCCTCGTGCCGCACCCCCGCGCTGGCCCCAGGCTGCGGGCATCAGCTTCTGCAGGCCCGCAGATACCAGAGAGGGGGCATTATATATTTGTATATACCCCTACCCAGGGTCGGTTTTCAGAGACTGTTCAGAGGATCTGACCTGAATGGGAAGAGAGAGAGAGAGAGAGGCTCCTCCTCCTGCTCCTCCTCTGAATCTTCCTCCTCCTCCTCTCGGGGGAGCGTAAGACCCGGGTTTGCCAGGACTCGGGTTCGCCATCGTTTTTTGACGACCGCGACTCGGATTTTGACTAGTAGGAGTTTCGTGGGATGTCTGCAGCGGAAGGCCTCGTCAAAATGCAGGCTCGGCCTCGTCATTTTTTTGACGACCTCGTCGGGGATTTCCGAGTCCCCTGTACCCGGGTCTTACGCCCCCCTGATCCTCCGCCTCCTCCTCCTCCTCCGCCTCCTCCTCTTCCTCCTCCTCCGCCTCCTCCTCCTCCTCATCCTCCTCCTCCTCCTCGAGGAACGAGGGACAACAGATGACAACACAAACGCCAACTTTCGGAGGTCCGTGCGGAGGTCTTCGAGCGGCGATCGATGCCGCCCCTTGCGACGCCTCCGCGCGCGAGGGGCAGGGTCTATAGCGCCGATCCACGGGATCAGCGCGGACCTCCGGAAGTTCATGTTCGATCCCCAATCAGTGTTTTCACAGGGGAAAAAACACAGACACAATTAATCGTCGATTCCCCCGGAAATATGGGAAAATATGGGAAGCGGGGGGGAAGACGAAAGCCCAGAACAGATGGGAAAACATGGGGAATCCTGTTATTTGTGCGCATTTATTTTTGTGTCCCAGGGCCCCTCCAAATCAGTGCTTGCACTGAGGGGGTCCTAGCGGAAATTAAAAGACGTGGCGAAATTGTCCCGCCGAGTTTGGTGGCCGGCTGGGTTCCCGGGTTCCGGGGTTCCTGGTGATTGGTTCCGGGTCGATTTCGGTGGGTTCTGGGTTTCCAGGTTCCCAGTCGACCTCCTTGATCGACCAAACCATCCACTGATTGGGGTTTTCTCTGGTGTAATGTCAGTCTCTGTTTCTCGAGAGGACGAGAAGCTCGCCAGGCGTTCTTGTTCGGTTTCTGCAGCAGTCGGCGACCTGGCGGAGAGACGGGAGAGGGGATGAGGATGGGGAGGAGGCTTTCCCTTCCGGGAGAGGCGGCCACCCCAGGCACCCGGGCCGCGATCAAAGCTTGGGCGACCGCGGACAGCATTCGAAGAGGAGGGGCATG